TAATTATATAACATTAGAACTCATAACAACAAGTATTCTTGGGAGTGCGTTGAGCTAATGAGTGCCGTCAGCGAACGCACGAGGCCTCTTCATTGTAAATAATTTTGGTATTATTCAACTAATAAGTTCTGGAAATTAATAACTGTTCTAATTTCCCAGAATTAATTAGCTGCAACTATTGGATGGTAAAGTCATCAAAAGTAGTTGCTTTATACCTATAAAACTGATACGTAAGGAGAGATATTGTTGATGACCTCATTTAAAAACTCGTATAATTTGACAAACATATACATACTTTTCCAACAAAAACATTAGCATGGGATTTGCGGCGATTAACCAACATTTAAAGTTTGAGATGATTAGCGTCGCCTTTACTTTGCCGGAATCCTTTTGAGTCGAAGTTAGCTTTAGAAACTAGATATCATCAGGCTTCATTTAATAGCGTTGATTTAGCCAACACTATATATTTTCTTTTTTGTGTGAGACATAGTTGATGCTATTCCAAGGGTGATGTCCTAAAAATCTAATTTTGCATCGCAGACCCTCATTTGCTTCCCTCTCTCTCTCGGTGCTCTTCCCCCTTTTCCCCGAAACTTTTGCAAGCACGAATGTCTCTCCCCTTCTGATTGTGGATAGACTGTCACCCATTTAAGATACAGTGATCCACCCTCTACCCTTATGGCTCGGTTAGGCCCTGAAACCATAGTGTAGATCGTATGAGCTGACTTGTTTATTTTGTGGGTCTCATATGTCGATGAGCCACTACTCATTTGGGATGTGAGAGATTCACTCTCTGCTAAGTAAACTAGCGAGAGATTTGAAGACACCGGGATGTTCCTAATTGAAATAACAATCATTTCGGTGACATGTTTACCAGTCATGATAATGTAAGGAAAACTCTTTTTATCGAGAGTATTCTTGGGTATCATCCAAGATGTAATTAGCATAAGAGATACATTCCTTTAGGAGTGCTCTTGACCCAAGAAAAAAAATGTTCTTTTTGGTTATCTGGTTATGGGTGGCTTATGTAGAGATTTTCTTCATGGATACTGTATTTTGAGATACTTCGATCCGATCTCGTTCAGATGTATACTTTCGACCTATCACACGAGGATTACCTATACATAAGCCCTCCATATTTTTATTTTAAATTTATTTGTATATCTTCATCATATATCCCATTTTTTTTATTCATATTCTCTTTGGAGCATTCATATGATCTGAGAAAGAGATTTATTTGGAAAGGGGAATCATACAATAACGACATATAAATAGACAAGCTGACAATTTTGAGTTTTTAACAAGATCCATAAACAAAATAAATCTCAATGTCTGATCGTGGCATGTGTATATGCATCACTTCCATGGCTAAGATATCACTCGGGTGCTTGTTTTGTGAATATTAATGTTTTGGGTTATATGTATGTAATTATCCCTTTTAAATTTTGTGATATGTTTGATATCATTCCTAGTTGAGGACAAGGCTCTTGGAATGGTTTTTAAGTTTGTCTTTACTTTGGTTTTTGAAGGAAGATTTATGTCAATTTATTATATAACATTGTGACTCTTAATAATTTCATTACAATGTCAAACTTACAGTTTGTTATCGTTAGCTACCTCTAATGATGGCATTGCAGGGCTAAAGATTTAGTTCTATGGTACTTGGATGTATTTGTAGTGTCTAGGTTTGAGTTTTTACTACAAATAAAGTATTGGCATTTGTTCTTTATAGTTAAATACCAAAGTCATGCTTAGACAATAACTAAGAGTTAATCTCTCATGTTTCATATCTTAGTTTCAAAATATCTATTATTGAATAGACTTAGGTTCGAGTTATATATGTGGAGCCAGACCACTTCATTTAGTTTTTTAGGGATATGTCACCAACCCAGGGACACTCGTCCTTTATTTATTAGTTTTTCATATTGATTTGTTTACTTTTCCTTATGAACATATAATTTCTTTATGTTATTTATTATTGATTGTTATTTTTCTAGATTCATGCACATGCTAAGCTCTTATTATGATTTAAATTAATTTAGTTAGGATAAGTATAAGTATGCCAATACAATCTCTCCATCAACCATGTACTAAAGACACATCTAAATGATTCTTGGCAGCTCTTTAAGTATTAATTTGCTTAGATCAAGCTAGAAGGACACATGAAAATAGTTTTCATCATAGATTATCAGGATTAAAGCTTGTTTAAGAGCAATTTAAAAAGATTAGAAAAACATCTCCCATAATAAGGGATCCAAGTTTTAGTTTTCATATGCTACCAGTAACTCAACAAGTGCCTTTAATCCATTTTAGCTAATTTAAGAGACTTCAATCACAATTAATGTAATGATTGATCTCACGCCTTAATTGACACAATGATCTAACAGCACTCTAAACAATTCAAGGGAAAGATTTTAGCTACTAACTTTAGTAAAGGTAAATAGAATCTTTTGAGTTTCATTACTCACGTAGGAAAGTTTTTTAAACCTTAGATCAGGCATTAGTGTTATATTTTCTATGTTTGCTTAAGTCATAACCATCTAAACTAAGCACATTGTTATATATATGTATGTCTGATATCAAAATGTACCGATCTATAAATCTACACACATGCTGCAAATGGATATTTGAAAATTGAGATTATGGATGTAAAATAGATTGTATCCGGGTGGAAAATGACTCATTGATGAGTTTTTGAATGGTGTTGGGTAATATATTTAAACCCAATTATTGGTATCGGAATGTACATAATGAGTATGAACCAAATTTGTAGTTGAACCTCCCTCTCTCTTTCTTTCTTAAGGCATAATTGTCATTTCAGCGGGTATAAGTCTTACCTCTTAGATCTTCAGCTTATAGTCATAGGATAGAGTTTATTCTTCCTTCCTTTGATCTTAGGGCTACCGAGGTTCCCGTGGACAACACAATTTACAGATTGCTGATCAGATTACTAATCGGGGATCTCAGGACGTGTTGGGTCAACTACCTTCACGACCAGGTAGACTTAGGGTTTTAGTGGCTTGAGATGATGAGTCCCAATTCAGTTTATTATTTTAGGTTTTGATATGAGATGTTAGCCCCCATGTGGAGGGAGAAGAGGGAACTCTAGAGTGAGAGCTAGTATCTTCCATACCTAGTCCGTCTTCAAGACTATTCAAACTTTAAATTAGCCGATGTTCTTTATAACATCTCTAGTAAGGGTAAAGAATAATATTGCTCATATTTGGCACAACACAATTTGAATAGTTCTACAATAGAATTCATATACTTGTTACTGATTCATAATAAGAAAAAATATATTTTATTTATATTGCCTTCATCTTACAAATATCTAGTTAAATTTAGTTAGTTGGTTATTTCATTTTCAATTATAAAAAAAATACCAAAAAGAATTGAACTTTCATTCTTATTATATCATCTATAGTTTGGGTAAGAATATTTTTTAAAGTAGAGTTTGTTATCTAATTCCTTATTAACAGATTGTAATTCTCCATGTGGATTCGATATTCAGAGCTTAATCAAAAAGTCTTATATTACTTGATAATAATACGTATATTTGTGTAGTATCCCAATATTTAAATATAATAGTTGCACTCTTATTTGCTTCGGAGTCAAGTTTTTGACACCGTTGTAAAGAAAGAAATAAGAAAGAAATATAAATAAAGAAAATTAAGAATATAACCACACATACTTCATAATAAAGTCGTAAAAGTCGGGATCAATCCCTGATAACATTAGAATTATTTTTCTTTTTATAAGCTGTTATATTGGTGTATATTCACTCTTTATTGCACTGATAAGGTTTTTTCCATATAACACTCATGTGGTATACTTTATTTTTGCTTTTTTATGGTTGGTTTTTTTTTTACTTTCTACCGCCTCCTTTTTATTCCACACATGATTGAATGACCTAATATTATGATGGCCCTACCATTGCTTATACTTGTTGCACTTATTTTTCTTTCAAGAAGCTGTTACAAGGAAATCCTTTTATGTCTTGGTTAGGAGAGATGTTGATTCATAGGTCATGCTAGAATAGCTATTTCGGAAGAATTATTAGCATTCTCTTGTGTTAGCTGTTGGATTGATTCCAGCTCTTTATTTAATGCATGTCTATTTACTTGGATTGCTAATAGGTGTCTTTGCTTGCAACCTTTATTCTATGGATGGCTTGTATGTGGAGTTATCACTTGCAGATGGATTTCAACCAGTTTTGTTTGGACGGAAGTCCTTTCTTCGCAGTCCTTTTCAGGATGTTTTTGGAAGGGAAATGATGAATTATACAACTTTCACTAAGGGCTTAACCGGTTTTTGAGACTATGTTGCTTTGCTTGATCTTTTTTATTTAGATACTACACAATGATGGACACCTTCTGGTATTTTCTGCTGCCATGAATTTCATTTTTCTTGTCTGGATGGAGCTTATGCTTAGACATTTGTTGTTTTTTTCTCAGCCTTTCACCTTTGTATTTTTATTTTTATTTTTTCTAATTTTATTTTTCTATCTTTACACTTTTTTTATCATTTTTTTTTCCTTATGAGTTCTTTGATGGTTTTCCTCATTGGCATTATGTAATTTTTTATTTATATCAATGAATTTCTGGGTGTGTGCCATAATTTTCTCCAAAATTAAACTCATTGTTAAAGAAAAATGTCGAAGATGGAAATATAGGGATGACATCCTTGATAACATTAGAAATCTTTTTCTTTAATGAGCAGTTATATTGGTGTATGTCAACTCTTTATTGCACTGATAAGGTTTTTGCTATGCAACACTGAGGGGGTCTGCTTTATTTTTTCTTTTCTATGGTTGGTTCTTTCACTTTCTGCCTCCCCCTCTTTATTCCACGCATGACTGGATGGTCTTATATTTTCATGCCCTGATATTTCTTATATTGGTTGCTCCCATTTTCCTTTGGGGAAGTTGTTACAAGGAAATCCTTTTGTGTCTCGGTTAGGAGAAATGTAATTATTTTGGAAGACTTATTAGTGTTTTCTTGTGTTAGCTGCTGGATTGATTCTTTTGATTCATGCACTTTTATTCACTAGGACTGCTAAGAGGTGCCTTTGTTTGCAACCTTTATTCTCTTGGGGCATGAATTTTATCTTTCTTGCCTTCATGGAGCCATGCTTAGATATTTGTTACTTCTCTCCCTGCTTCCCGTTCGCAAATGTCTCTTCTCCACTTCCTGCTGGCGCATTTCCCTCGTCGGACTGTCTGACATCATAGCGAGGGATTGCTTCATCAACTTCGGCAAGCACAGTGGTCGAATGCTTGGCTCCCTCCCCTCCTCTTACCTATCCTGGATGGCTAAAAACCTTCGCGCCGGAAATTTTCTAGACTGGGCCCGCCTCGCCGACGAGGTCCTCGCCGACCCAATCTACCGCGACCGCCTGGAAAGGGAGTCCGCCGAGCGCCTCCTCGCTGGCACTGCTGGATACCGCCGTCCCTTCGATTCCCCTGTCGCCGGTTTCCTTTCAATGAGCGAAACCTTCGGGTGGAACAACGATGACAAGGAGGGATGAGCCAGGGTTGATTTTCACTTGCTCGGTATATCAATGGGCGGTAGGATTCCGCGGCGCTCGTCGGAGGTATTGAAAGATCATGACTTGGTAAGGAAAGCTGCGGTTTTTAAGGCGGAAAACAAGGTGAGGCGGGAGAGGAGGAGGGAGAAGAGGATTATCCGGGTGGAGAAGATGAGGAAGGAGGATGAAGAGAAGAAGAGTGATGATAGGATGCTTGTGGAGAAGAAGAGAGATTTAAGAGATAAAGATGCAGAAAGGCTTGCCAATCCTTTTCCTGGGAGAGGAAGTCTGCTTCAGAAGGTCAAGACAAAAGGAGCCTGATTTTTTGCTTTGTTATTTCTTTTACTTCCTTTGTTAATGAGTTTGATTTTGAAATAAGTTACACTCTGTAGAGATCTGAAAAAAATTGCATATAACGTACGCAAATCTGTGTATGTATAGGGGTATAACCTATCTATAACCCCCAATACTCTCTGAATAACCTCCAACATATACATCTCTGTGTACTTCTTAGGTACGCAAAATTTTTCTCGTTGAGATATGTTCATGCTATTATTTCGTAGAAATGGTCAAAAGGTGAACTTTACTCAGTTGCGCGAGGGATTGATTTAATTTTAGGAGGAAATCTCCCAAGGATAATTTGATTTTTATTTTGGGGCATTTATATACATACCAGCCAATTTGTGTCTATTTAGCTATCTAATACCTAAATTTTATTTTGGTTTTTACTTTTATAAAACCTAAATATTTCATATCACATCCATAATAATATCATTTTAACTTTTAAAAAAAATATATATATATATATATTTATGTACACCTAAAATGGCGCATTTACCTAAAGTGACACGAATGTAAAAGTTAATGTTTAGATATTTGATTGGTAAATATATAAGAATTGAATGGTATGTATCTAAATCTGCTTTTCACTTTTTATTAGGTGTATTTGCATACATATCACTCAACCCCTATGTATTTGCCTATCTAACATTTAAATTTTTATTTTTACATTTATTTCACCCATTTTTTTTTTATCACGTGAAAAATAGACCTATCTCCCCCATTACAATGGTACTTGCACTGTGCATTTGATAAAATGTCAACCATACAAAGCACTTTGGAATCCTTGGATTATCAACCGCCCAATTTTGTTTTTCCAAATGTACTCCAATTTTAAATGGTGTACTCAGTCATCCTGCATTGATTAGATGGTTAGAGTTGGCAGCTACAGCCGGTGTAATCACCTTGATAATTGGAGCGGATTTGTATGATGCATATTACTTGCAGAAGAAAAGCAGGACTCATGAGAACATCACTTGTCTCTTGCTAAAGCCAATAGCCTAATTGATGTTGATCTTAAACTCTCCCCGCAAGTCCCCTCCCATAAGGGGTGGTGTGCCTCACTTACATTTTTTCTTACAAATTCCCTCACAAAATCCAATCATAATTTTTTAATTTTCTTTAATCTACAATCAAATGTTCATAATTTTTTAGTAAAATTTAATTTTATAGATTATTCAAAGTTAAACATATTTTCATCAATTTAAAACCATTAAATTAAATTAATATGAGCTTTGTTGAGCAATCTATTAGCCTATTCATTGCTCAATATCAAGCTCTCATTTCCCATAAAAATAGTAGAATGTTAAAATTTTCTTATGATGTGGGAATGAATAAATATTGAATTTGTTAACATCTGATTTGGGCTAAAAATTGGGCCATGTTGCCTTTTATGTTATTAAATTGGCTATCCGAAAAAAAATAAAGAAACAACATTTTAATTTTTATACTTTTTAGACTATAGCATTCATATTCATACTACTTATTATAACATATGTTTTATTACAAATTATATTATTATTATTAAAAAAATAAAAAAAATATTTAATAAACTTGTTAATATTTCATTTATAATAAAAATATAATATATTTATTTTTGTTGATGTATCTACCAATCACCCTGTAATAGAAACTAACCAAGAGAAACTCAAAGAACCAAATGCTAGGTTAAAGAACATAGAACAAGAAAACAAGAATGTAGCGAAAAACCCCAAGATTACGTGATTTAAATAATAGGAGCTACATCCATGGGAAGGGAAAAAACACCAATTCACTAAGGAAATTAACGAGGTTACACAACTTTATCACTGAGAGATGAGCTCTCTTGTCATATTCTCTCTCTCTCATCGACCCGATACAAGATTCACAAGATCCTCTCCTCAATTTCATAAAACCTCTACTTGTCTCACTCTAACAAATTGTTTTCATTCCCCTTAAACCCTCTCAACATGCATCCCTCATTATTTATAACTAAGGAGCCTTCCCTAAGTAGACTGGTTCACCTATCAGAAGCCTTCTTTCCTTCTTTAACAACAGTTGATAGAATTACAGTTATACCATTGCCTTAGTCCCGTAATTGTGAGTCATCAGCAACGATTCTCCACCTTGAATCCCAATTACAAAACTACATAATGTTGATTCCCTTCTCTCAGCCACAAAGGGATATTAAACCTTAGTAGAGTTCATTAAGTCCAGACAATGTCTGAACTTAGCTACAGGTAATACCTTAGTGAGTATGTCAGTTGAACAATTAGAGAAGTTAATAATCACAGTTCTCCTGATTAGTGAATATAGAACATTATTTCTTACTCTTTTCATGGAAATTAAAGAGCCTTCAGTTACTCTAATACAACCATTTTCAGCATTAAAAGAATAGTCACTTGATTCCAACATACCTGAAGAAATCAGATTCCATTTGAGTTATAGTATGTACTTGACATTTTGCAGTATTTTTTCAGCTCCATCAATCATCATTATCCAGATTGTCCCACTGCCAACAACCCTACAAGCTTTTTGTCTCCAAAAAGTATTGATCCACCGTTGACCAGTTGGAGTGTCTCAAACCAATCTTTATGAGGGCACATATGGAAGGAGCAGCCTGAATCAATAATCCACTCCTTGCTTGATTCAGACTCAGTAATTACCAAAGCATCAGCTGAATCGTAGTCATCAAAGGCTACACTTGCTTCTTTTGATTCTTTTGGCTTTTCTTGATATTTTTTCTTCCTATCAAGAAAGTTCTTCTTGAAGTGACCTTCCTTGTGGCAATGTAACATTTAAAAGGTCCCTTTGACGACTGATTTTCACTTTTCTTTATTTTTCTTGATCTTGATCTGTTCTGATTTTTTCTTGATTCCTTTCTGTTTGATCTTCTTCTGACAATAAGACCATCTCCACTTTTCCCCTCATTCTTATCATGTTTCTTTTGAAGTTACTTAGCTCAGATCAACGATTGAACTTCTTCCAGTGAAATTATCTGCACTCTTCCCTAAAGCATTGCATCTTTGAAATGCTTATAACTCTTGGGAATAGAGTTTAGCAACAACAAAGCCTTATCCTCATCATCCATCTTCACTTTGATGTTTTCAAGATCATTTATGATCTTATTAAACTAATCAATCTGCTTTGAGATTGATTTTCTTTCATGCATCTTGAAGGAGCAAAGACTTTGCTTCAGGAAGAGTCCGTTGGCCAGGGATCTTGTCATATATAACAGTTCAATTTTAGCTCAGAGTGCCTGAGTCGTTGTCTCCCTTGACACTTCTCTAAAAACTTTATCACCCAGACTCAGAATTATCTTACTATGAGTTTTATCCAAGATACTGTTCTTATCTTTCTCGGGCATCTCAGTAGGCAACGCAGTTGGTCCTTGCTATGCTTCCACAGCACCCTGTTGTACAAGTAGGGCTCTCATCTTGACTCTGCACAAGCTAAATTCATCCTTTCCTGTGAATTTTTTGATGTCAAACTTGGCAGATCTCATCGTTGTGGTTTGGTTTCCCACGGACGATGCCACTTGTTAATGTATCCACCAATCACCCTCCATTATAAACTAACCAAGAGCAACACAAAGAACCAAATGCTGGCTTAAAGAACACAAACAAGAAAACAAGAATGTAACCAAGAACACCAAAATTAAGTGGTTCGGTCCATAAGTCCTACATCCACGAAAAGGGAATAAAACACCAATTCACTAAGGCAATCAACAAGGTTACACAACTTTATCATTAAGAGATGAGCTCTCTTGAGCTCTCTTGTCATACTCTTACTCTCTCTCTCATCAACCTGATACAAGATTCCCAAGATCATCTCCTCAATTTCATGAAACATCTCCTTACCTCACTCTAACAATTGTTTTCATTCCCCTTGAACCCCATCAGCATGCATCCCACATTATTTATAACTAATGAACTTTCGTCAAGTAGACTGGTTCACCAATCAGAAGCCTTTTTTTCTTCTTTAACAATGGTTGATAGAATTATAGTCATACCATTGTCTTAGCCCCATAATTGTGAGTCATTATCAATAATATTAAATATCTTTAAAAATATAAAGCATTTATAATATTGATATAAAATTTTCATTATTATAAAATAAATTTATATACTTATATTATATATATTTTTTTATTTTTTAGATATTGATTTTTAATTATAAAAGTATACTTATATATATATATATATATATATATGCGTCTCCCTCTCCATATATATATATATATCAATATATACTTAATATACTCAATTTATATATTAATTAATGAGTAATTTTTATTCAATTTATATTACTCAATTACCCAAAAAGTATATAAAAATTACTTTTTAATTAAGCAATTTTTGTAATTTCTACTTATATATATTTATTGCTTTTTAAAAATTACTTTTTAATTAAATTGAGTATATTAATGAGTATATTAATGAGTATATAAAAATTAAATTGAGTAATTTAATGAGAAAATTACTCATTAATTACTTTTTTTAAAAAAAATTTATATACTCATAAATATCTAAAAGTATATATAAATTGAGTAATTAATGAGTAATTTTTATAACAGTATACTTATATATATTATAAAATTTTAGATATTGATAATTTTTATTATTTATGAATTTTATTTATATTTATAATAAACTTATATTATTGCTTTATTGAAATCAATTTAAAATAATATAAGTAATTATTACATTATTCGATTTAGCTCTGGTTCAACTCCGGTTGAACCATTGAACCTCTCCATTTTTCGGAATTCCTTAAATCAAATATTTATTTATGCTTTGTTCAATAAGGTCTTGGTTTTTTGCTTCCATTGAGAAAAAATTATATATATTTTTTAATATTGAATTATAAATTTATACCAATATATTTTATAAATTTTGATTTTAAAATAAATACTCAAAATTTTTAGTAATATTATAACTCTTACAATTACTTATGGCGACAAATTTGGTCTTTTGATCATTTTATTACATTAATGACTATAAAAAATCATAAATATTATTAGTTTTTAAATTTCATTCAGGCGCAATTGTCTAGCATGTGTATTTACATACTTCCCACACAATTTTCTATAAATTACATATTCCACCCCTAACTATTAACATTTACCTATATATTACTCAATTCTTTGAATCTCATAAAAAATAACACTAGTAATTTTTTTTTTTGAGAAAATAAAATTATTGTTTGGTGATTAGAAAGTATTTTGAGTGGATCTAAGTTAATATGAATGGGTACAACAACAACAACAACAACAAAGCCTTAATCCCACTACGTGGGGTAGTGGGGTCGGCTACATGAATCTTTTTTCTCCATTGCGTCCTATTTAGTGTCATATTTTTATTTAGTTCTAGTAAATTAAGATCATTTTTAATACAATAAGCCCAAGTCCTCCTAGGTCTACCTCTGCCTTTCTTAACACAAGTCGAATTTAAAACATCTACTCTCCTAATCGGATCATCTAATGGTCGACGTTTAATATGACCAAACCATCTAAGACGACTTTCTCTAATTTTGTCTGTCACAGGAGCTACACCAACCCTATCACGAATATATTCATTCCGCATTTTGTCTCTAAGTGTAAAGCCACTCATCCACCTAATCATTCTCATCTCGGCAACACTTAACTTATTATTATGCTTCTCTTTTAAAGGCCAACATTCAGCGTCATAGAGCATTGCAGGTCTCACCACCATCTTATAAAATTTTCCTTTCAGTCTTAGCGGTACTTTTCTATCACACAAAAGGCCCGAAGCATTCCTCCACTTCAACCAACCAACTTGAATTCTACTATTAACATCCCCATCTATATCACCATCGCTTTGGACAACGGACCCAAGATATCTAAATCGTTCACACCTTTTAAAAAGTTGGTTGATTCCATAAATCATTCTCATCTCAGACCCAAGATATCTAAATCAACAACGGAATCAGTTGTTGATTCCATAAATGATGCAATAATTCCAAATTATTTTGGAATTCAATATCTAGCTTCATCTAAGTGTTAGTTTTTTAAAATGAATAGAGTGAAGGTTGGGATGAGAAATTTATCCTTGGAAAAAAAAAAAAA